GAATACCTAAAACTGTGCGCTTAACCTGAGCATTGCTTGTCTGGTCGCGCCACCGGATTCGTGCAGTGTTTCGTAGACAGCGATGTTCAAACACCTTCAATCTCCCTTTATCCTGTTTCCCTAATGGCCCAGTTTTTGCACCGTGTCGCAGAACTGGTCGAACTGCCGCAGCTTATACTCTACCATTCACGGATAGCCGTGAATCGTTGCGGCGCCATAGGTGTCTCAAACTGGCAAATACGATTGGAGCCTTCTGTATGCGACCTGACACTTCGTCCTTGATGCGTCCACTGGGTGAGATGTAGTTGATCAAATAACGAAAATTGTCCACTTAGTCTATCACCTTCCCAGTTAGGGTGATGCTGGAAACTGGAAGAACATTTTACAATATTTCACACTTTGAAGGTGCAAATCGCATACCGAATATAGCTATTCTGGCACTCAAGCTATCCAAAAAAGTTGCAACTTACTTGGATCCTTTATTTAGTGGCACAATGTGGTGTACGTACTCCGGATCAGACAGTCTGTCACCTAGACGCAAATCGATCCTGCTGTCCTCGCACGAGAATAGGGCTGTTTCCATAATCAAATCCATAACAAAGTGAAACAGAAAGCGAGAGAGGCCAACTCTGACGAACACCGCTTTACGCGGTGAACACGAGTGAAAAATTGCCGAAAGCTTAGATTCGGCTTCGACTATTGGTATAAAGGGATCGCAATGTTGAAATAAACATCTCAGGCACACCCTTTAGGGAAGGATAGCGTTAGAGTTTAGAGTGGTCGAGTGAGTAGAAGGCCGTTTTCAAATCGAGGAAGATAGAGAAAGTCAGTCGGTCAGTTACTTACCGCATATGACATGCAAACTATTACCCCCCAGTGGAGACCTTTCAGCGTATCTGGTTATCCGCTTAGATTCAAGTATTCGATCCGGAGTGAGGGTATGGAAACTCTAACCAGGAGACTCGGTCANGAATCATTGTAATAAATCTATCTTCTTCTCCTTCATCTAAATCATCAGCAAATAAAAGCAACCGAAAGGAATGCGCGAAATTACACGGTAAATTGTCCAACAAAATGAACTGAAGCTGAAGCTGAATAATTAGACTTGTGGTTTATCCGACGAACTTCGGATTCAGTGTGCTTGATAGGGAAGATCCTACTTGGCTACTCGCAAGTAGTCGTGAGCTGTGAAAGAAAACAAAAATTCATGGAAGGTTCCCATAAGAACATCAAAAGACAAACAATTTAGCGAACAAGCTAGTTTTCGTAACTTCTTCTTCAGGCATTTACAGTTATGTGTGTGTTTATATCTAATGT